TCCCACAAGTGCCCCGCCTGCCCCACCACCTCTATCAGCGGCAGAGAATTGGTGCCACCATTGGCGCTGATTTTTGGCTATGTTGCATCTGTTTTGAGTGAGATCTCTGTAATTCCAGGACTGTCCCTGGAAAATTGGGACACTTGGAAGGTCTGTACAAGGAGTGTGCTTTGAACTCAGGGCTGATCTTGCAACTGGGTGGGAGCAGGTGTCTTTCTTCACTTCACTTCACATTTGTATACTGCCTTTCTATATTACTATACACAAAGCGATTTACAGCAACAAAATATACAACAAAGAACACACATCATGTAACAATCTGATCCAATGCAAAACGTCCTAATAAAACTTAGCTTTAAAATGGGATGACATATCAAATAAAGTAGTATTAAATATAATAGTACACAATAAAATTAAATCTCAGAACACCAGCAAATAACAGTTAAACAGAAATTCACTCTTAACAATTACAATAAATAATTACTTAAACTATGAGCAATAAAAATAACTGAAAGTCACAATGCATCAAGTACAGTGATACCTTGGTTTTCGAATAGCTTAGTTCTCGAATGTTTTGGCTCCCAGACACCGCAAACCTGGAAGTGACTGTTCTGGTTTTCAAACGATCTTTTGGCAGCCGAACATCCGGTGGGGCTTCCACGGCATCCGATTGGCTGCAGGAGCTTTCCTGCAGCCAATCAGAAGCCGCCTTTTGGTTTCTGAACGTTTTGGAAGTCGAATGGACTTCTGGAACGGATTCCATTCTACTCCCAAGGTACGACTGTACCTGCTCTGGGTTATGGGATGGTAACTGGCTATTATACTGGCCAGACTGGGAACCACGAGACGGAGGCTGCGCACTCCATGCAATATGTTAAAAGCACATGGATTTTCCCAAAGAATAATGGGAAGCGTAGGGTTGGGAATTATAGATTTTTTGATGTATCTCCCACCATTTGCAGAACTCAGATACAGAATTCTGGGCTGTGAAATCTGGGGGATTTATTTCTTGCAACCAAGCATCCTCTTAATTCAGGGAATAGGGAACATCCTGACCCTGGGGCTGGATGTGGCCTTTGGAGCCTTTCCAAGGGTCTTCCCTCCTTGGTCCCTCTCACTGCTCTTCAAATTCCATGCTGGCTGCAGGGTGGTGGGGTCAAGACATTGTAAGTGATGGGCCCCCCAAACTGGGTTGGAACCCCAACATGGGGCAGGAGGTAGATGGCCTTTAACAACTGGAAGAGGAGAGGTGTGTAGATGCCAGAGGGAGTCTTATTTGTCATCACTGCGTGTCAGTGTGTGCATGCACATACACACACGCCCCTGCCATAGGCCAGAAATGGGCGTGTGGGGTGCATATGATTGGGTGCTGAATGGGGCGCAGCTTAGCACCCCAAGCCTTAAATGAATTTCAAACACTTGCTAATTCCAGGGATTAGAAGTGTCTAGGACACAGCTTAGCATCCCAAGCCTTAATTAATTTCTAACACCCATTGGACCCAGGAATTTAAGGGAGTCTGGAACTCATAACAATATATTAGATGGCTTTTATAAAATAAAAATACTTTAAAAAACCTCTCTGTCCCATTGGAATCATGATCCAGATGGTTTAAATGGATCCTTTTTGACAATGCAAATGGCAGGCTCCAGATCAGGGTTAAAGCCCGTCTGCTCCCATGGCAGGGTCTCAATATTAAGTGTTCTAATGTCAGGTATACTTACTTGGTTAAAATGAACTTTATATAGTTCAATTGGTGTCTTTTTTTTTTTAAGGATTAGTAATATTCTGGCTGTTGAAAGATCACCTGTTTTCCAAGATTCCATACACTCTTTGGACATTTGTGCCCAAATCTTAATTGTAATATTACTTCATGTCATTGAATCAGCAGATTCCCTTTTATCTCGTCATGCATTTCCTGCCTCATGTCTCCTCCTCTTCTTTTACAAACTTCCCGGAGGATCGCATTCTTCCATGGGAGTGGCTTTGAGTTTTGTCTAATTAAATTTTATAACACCATCAAAGCAAACAACAATGGTACATTATTATTTTTACACACGATACAAATCACACCACCGATGACATAAAAAAGGAAAGCAAAGAAGCAAGGAATGTGGTCCCACTTAGAAAGGAAGCAGGCAAAGCAACAGGACTTATGTGTATACCCTGCTATGGACTAAAACAAAGACAATCCACATTTGAAAAGTGTCGTATTTTCCCGCTCCATAAGGCGCACCGGACCATAAGGCGCACCTCATTTTTAGAGGGGGAAATCGGGGGGGGGATTATTTCCCCCCAGTCCCAAAGAGCAGCTGTCCGCTTCTCCCAGAGCTTCTCGGGGCTGCTGGGGGAAGCCTGCCCCCCCCCCAGTCCAAAGAGCAAAGAAGCCAAGACAGTGAGCGGGATCCAACCCGCTGGCTGTCTTGCCTTCTGCCGGCTGGAGAGGCTGTGCAATTCCCCCACCTCCCGCAAAAGCCCACAGGAGCCACGCACCCTTTAAGGAGCGTGCGGCTTCTGCGGGCTTTTCAACGAGGAGGGAGAAGGGACTGACTGGCCGCGTCAGTCCCTTCTCCCTCCTGGAGAAAAGCCCGCAAGAGCCGCGCGGAGCTTGTGTGCGGCTCTTGGGGGCATGTCCTGCCTGCCTTCCCCCCTGCATTCGCTCCATAAGACGCACACACATTTCCCCTTACTTTTTAGGAGGGAAAAAGTGCGTCTTATGGAGCGAAAAATACGGTAATTATGTTGACCAAAGTATTCTAGAGAGAGCACGCCTAGACTTAAAGCACCAGGAGGCCCCTCCCAAAATTAAAAAGAATAGTAGATGGTTGGGGTTCATCTGGGCAATGGCGTAGCTAGCTGCTGGGGTGCCTGGTGCAGAGGCGTGTCCTGCAGCCGGGGGTGGGGCAATCTGGCCATGGGGGCGGGGCAAGCCTCTCCGCCACCTCCCCCTCAGCTGTAGGGTGGCTGAGGGAGAGGCAGTAGGCAGACGCAAGTCCCACGCTGCTCTTTCAGGCAGCGCGGAACCTGCAGGCACCTAAGCCACCACGTCACGCCTAAAAAGTTTTGTGAGCCCATTTTTTTTATATAAAAAAACCTCATTTTGTCACACACACCCCAGTGATGACACCTGGGGCGAACCACGCACCCCGCACCCCCTCCCTCCACCGCTGCATCTGGGGTAAGAAGTGATAAAAGAAATAAAAGGGAACCAGTTGCCATGGAATTTGTCTCATTCAATTTCACCCCTAATGACTCTACAGAGTTATCGTCTGTGAGGTCCTTTGTCCACACTCTGCCATACCAATTCTGCAAAGTGCATACCAGTTCTGCTCTTCCGCAGAAATGCCATCTCCATTCAAGGAGCCACCAAAATGTGTAGCTTTAAAAGTTTAAATAATGTATCTATACTACCAAAGGCACATTCTTCCATCCTCTTCCGAGACAGACGAATGGCAAAAATTTGCTCCTCAAAACAATTAAAGAAGTGCCAATCCAGGATTTATAACCACCTGGGCAGGGAATGGGCATCGAGCTGTAGATATGGTGCAAGCACACTGGAATGAATCAAGAATCACCCATGAATCAACTCGAGGGATTGTCCCTTCACGAGAGCTGAAACCCATTTGAAGGATGACACCTGCCATAGTAATTTCCAGTCTCCCTCAGAAATTTCTCTCCCGATATCTGCCTTCCAAATTGCTCAATGCCCCTCCCTCTCCACATCAGGTTGCTACTGATCAAGAAGGATTTGGCAAACAGTGGTCACCTCGCCCTTCACCTGCCTCGGGTGGTGCTGACACAATTTCTCAAATAGTGAGGGGTGTTGGCACACGACAGCATCTCTAGGCTATGAGGCTCACAAAGGTTCCAGCAAATTATCTAACTGCTGAGAGATGCTTACCTCTGTGAAACAAATTTTGTACAGTGGTACCTCGGTTTACGAACTTAATCTGTTCCTGAAGTCTGTTCTTAAACCAAGTCTGTTCTTAAACCAAATCTGTTCTTAAACTGAGGCGCACTTTCCCTAATGAGGCCTCCTGCCGCCAGTGCCCTTCCACCGTTTGGCTTCTGTTTGTAGACCAAGGTAAAGTTTGCAAACTGGAACACTACTTTTGGTTTTGTGGAGTTTGTAAACCGAATAGTTCGTTAACAGGGCTGTTTGTAAACCGAAATACCACAGTATTGTATCTTAAGTATTTCTCTCCCCACCCCTTATATTGCTTGTACTGACAGGGGTCACAAAATTGTGGATGATCTAGAAATGGGAAAAACATGGAGATAATACAAGGACTAGTCTGTGTGCCCAAGTGCCCCACACTTTGAGGGCTGAATGAAGGAACTGATTCTGAATCCCTTGGAGATCTTTTCTCACTGAGGGTAAAAAAGGGATTGCTCTAATGGTAGGATAATGTGGATAATGTTAGTTCTGTACCAACTCAATGAATTTCCAGTCAATTTTTGATAACTTTGAACAATTGCTGGATCTGAAAGGCATTATTGTGCTATCTCAAGATAGGTACCCTGAACCCGCATTTCCTGATACTTCTATATATAGAGCAGCTTTACTTATGCAAACTATTTCCCTCTCCTCCAGCAAAAGAGTCTATTTTCTCCCATCTTTGAAATTCATGGTTAGAATCTCTATCAGGAGCCTTTAAATAACGAGAAATTGGGAAGCAGTCATTTTAAATACGGCATTCCTATCGACCCAATAAGGTTTTTGTTTCTTCCTTTGGGACAGGTTCTCTTGTACTTCAGTTTACAAACCCATCTAATCCCTCTTACGAAGTTGTTTAATCTCTTTCGGATTTGCTTTTGGGCAGGCAGGGACATATGAGCTCTGATTTATCATTGTTAACTACCAGACCTGCTACCCTCCCAAAGTCATTAATTCTAGTCCGAAGGCCAAGAACAGCAGTTAAGGGATTATTCTAGCATCCATAAAATGTCATTGGCAAATAAAGTAATACATTGGTGTCTCCCATTAATGCGCAGGTTTGCTCCAGTGGAAGAAGGCCTCCACTACGATTGCCCTAGTTACCATAGTAATTTGGAACTCTTGCAGTTCCCTAAGGCCAACTGGCACCTTGACTCTGGACCCGCAATAGAGTTGCCATGCAGCTGTTTTAAGGGTAGAGGAACTCTGCCAGGAGGGCTGCAAGCCACAGGACACCTGGGTCCTCTTCAAGGGACAAGCCTGCGCAGCAGGTTTAGGGGTTTCCCCACTGGGAGCCTATGAACGCTGTGATCATCTGGGCTGGGACTGTGTGGGAGTTCTTATCCTGGCAGCAGGTTCTTCCAGTTCAAAGTTTAATTTAGTTAGATTGGCTACCTCCTTGGGCAGAGTTAAGGGTGACAGGGTGGAGCCATATTTCATAGGGAGATTAAGTGCTTCAGAGGGAGGAGAGGAGCGAAGGAGCGCAACCATCGGGAAGGAGAAGGATCTTTGAGCAAAAAAGGTACCAAGGCAATCCTCTACCTGGGAGGGAGGAAACTCGCTGAACATCCAGAGCAATGTGAGGGAGGGAGGAGATGTCCTTTTTGATCTTAGAACTTTCCCCAACATGGTGCCAACCTGATTGTTTACACTTTGGCTCTGACTGATCCCCAGCAGTCATGGTAGCTGATGCTGATGTGTTTGTTGTAGTCCTGGAGGCCTCACACTGAGGAATCTGAATGACTAAGAGGAGAGACAGGAGAGAGGCGAATAATTTTATGGATGGGGAGGAAGAGAGTAGATGGCAAGAGGCTTGTCTCCTTCTTCTCATATAAAACTAGAGCACAAAACGTAAGAAGAGCTTGCTAAATCAGGCCAATGGCCCATCTAAGCCAACATCCTGCTCTCTCAGGGGGCCAGTGAGATGTCCGTGGGAAGCCCACGAGAAAGACCCGGGTGCAAGGGTGACTCTCGCCTCCTGCTGTTTCTAGCAACTTGCATTCAAAAGCATACACTGCCCCCAACCCGAAGAGGCACAGCCTAGCCATTGCGGCTAGTAGCCATTGTCCTCTAAGGCTTTGCTTAGTCCTCTTTCAAAGCCATCCAAGCTGGTGACTACCGCTGCCTCTTGTGAGAGCAAATCCCAAAGATTAATTCTGAAGAAGTCCTTTCTTTTTTGCTGTCCCAGATCTCCCAACATTCAGCTTCGTTGGAGGGCCGCATAAAATCTGGGTGGGCAACAGGAAGTCAGTCCTTTTTCTTCACAAAACTCAAGGCTGATTTGCAGAGCTCTCTGCCGGGAGATGGGGCAGTGATGGTCACTGTATTGGCTTAGTCAGCTTTATATGCCGGTTAGATGGATTCCGGGCTATCAGTGGTTATGAATCACGGTGTTTTGGGCCCGTCTAGGACACTTCCACTTGTCCTGGAAAGCATGGGTCCAAGCGGCTCTCTGCTTCCTAGGTAGGGGTCCAAGCAATTTTGCCTTTCCCCTGCCACTTTCCCCTGGAAAACCTGCTCTTTAATGCTAAATCAGAACAAATAGCAATCTGTGGAAAATCCAATTGCTCCAATTCAGGACTAAAGATCAGGGGAAAGCAGCAGGGAAACAGGTGTAGAGAAGCCCTGACTTGAAACTTCCAAGTTCAGAAACAGGCAGCCTTCCTTCAAATTCCACAAGTTTGCCGGGAGTGGGCTATCACCTTCATGTCTGTTTGTGGGCTTCTGAGAGAAATGGGATGTTCAGACTAAATGGACCTTTTGGTCTCATCAGCAAGGGCTAATGTTCTTACATTTCACCTGCCTTTCTGTGCCCCCTGATTTTCATGAAGGTATCAGTTCATAGTATTTTCAGGCAAACTCAATGCAGAAAGCTCTGAAGCTACGGATAACTCAGTACTCTTCCAAAAGGAGGAGGAAATATTCCCATTGCACTTTGGAGCTCCCTGCCTATTGATGCCAACGTAGTCTTTTCGGCACCGCTAATATAATTTTTTTGCTTAGGCAGGCGGTATATGCATTTTATGAAAGAACGTTAATAAACAATCTCCAGTCCATTCACATGCTGCGGTGCAGTGCGTAGGATATTGGACTAGGGCTGAGAGGAGTCCAGGGAGTTCAGCCACAAAGCTCAGATGTGCAGCCTTGGGCAAGACACTGTCACCCAGCCTAAACTGGTTCGCAGGGATGATGTGAGGACAAAATGGAGGATGGAGGTTGGGGTGGGGACCCTATTTGCCACCTTGAGCTCCTGGGGGGAAAGGTGGGTTAAAAATGTAGCAATGAAAACAAACAAACAAACAAGCATGGCAAAACAAACAGAGCAGATGGAGAGTTAGAAGGTGCCCCCATCCCTTACAGAACTTTGTGCTCCAGTTTACATTAACGTGCCGCCAATCCTATCTGTACCCTCCAGGTGTTGTTGGACTCCAACTCCCATGATCCTTGAGTGTCGGCCATACTGGGAAAGATGGATGGATGCTGGAGTCAAACAATGACTGGAGGGCCACAGATAACTCTTTTGCTGCATTAGCGGCTGGTACTTTTGGGGGACTGGAAGGGTGGAAGGCTGCCAGCAGTAGGTACAGCCAGAGCCAATGACAGACAAGAGTTAGGCCCCAGATTGGTTGTTAAGTAAGAAGGCAGGCAGGTTGGGGGCTGGCTGAGGGCAGATTGAAGTTGGTGCCCCTTTGCCCTATCGGATCAGCCTTCATCGCAGCTTCCCTGCTGCACACGGCCAATGCTTTGAAGGCAGAAATGACAGCTGGAAAACTGTCAATGGGAGAAATGACAGCGGTCACCTGTGTTTCCTGTGGGCATCATAACACTGACCCTCCCATGGTACCCTGGTCTGCAGTGTTGGTGCACTTGCAACTCCAAGCAAAAATGGTCTTCTGCCAGGAAGGAAATAGTTCCTAAACCATGGGTAGACAAACTAAGGCCTGGGGGCTGTATCCTGCCCAATCGCCTACTAAATCTGGCCCATGGATAGTCCGGGAATCACATGTTTTTACATGAGTAGAATGTGTCGTTTTATTTAAAATGCATCTCTGGGTTATTTGTAGGGCATAGGAAATCGTTCATATTTTTTTTCAAAATATAGTCTGGTCCCCCACAAGGTCTGAGGGACAGTGGACCAGCCCAAGGCTGATAAAGTTTGCTGACCCCTGACCTAAACTATGAAGGGGCATATGAGGGGGGAAATCAGTTTCCAGATGGACATCCAATTGTATCTATGGAGCTATTAGTTTATTGCAATACAGTGGTACCTCGGGTTACAAACACCTCAGGTTACAAACACTTCAGGTTACAGACTCTGCTAACCCAGAAGTAGTACCTCAGGTTACAAATTTTACCTCAGGATGAGAACAGAAATTGTGTGGCAGCAGCGGGAGGCCCCATTAGCTAAAGTGGTACCTCAGGTTAAGAACGGTTTCAGGTTAAGAACGGACCTCCGGAATGAATTAAGTTCGCATTTAAATTTTTAACATGTGTAGTTTGTCAACCTTTTACTTTATTACAGGTTTTTATAACTCTGATGATCAATTAAGCCTGTGCATTTAAAGGGTATATTTTGGTTCTGATTAGATACGCACAGCCTGATCCTATGCATGTTCACCTGAAAGTAACTGAAATGCAGTGGTGTTGAAAATGTCAACTGACAGATCCATTTTTCATTTTCACACATAGTTAACGTGTTTTATGTCATTTTAAACATAATTTCCCAAAGTTTCATTATTTTTCCAAAATTTATTCACATTTTACATGTGAATAAAGCAACCAGAAGCTTAGCATGCAGTATGACTCAGAATCTCTCTATTTCTTTCTCTAACATTAAATATCTCCAAGAAACTAGACAATAGATTAATGGCCCTTTATTGCACCAATGGCGAACTAACAAGATTTTTTTATGTTAGGAACAAAAGCAAATGAGCTTAGAACAATGGAACTTAAATAGGTTTAGTGTGTTACATTGGTCACAGAAACTCATACCCCCCCACCAAACAAATGAAACGAAATATATTTGTAAACTTTATTCTCTTCTTTTAGGTTTTTAGCATTGAGAGCATATGATCTTGCCTGCATTTTATATGCAACATTTCTTCTGATCAACATACCACCACAACGTGCAATTTACGTACCATAAATGTGTTGCCATGTGTGTCCTTTAAAGTTTGTCCCAGTTCCTTCCCATAGAATTTAATAATTTTTAGGCTTATTACTTGCACCATACCATCTATGTAGGACATCTTTCAGAGTTTTACGAAAAGAAATAGGCATCTGCCCTCAAGAAGCTTAACATCTGAAAGAGAAGTCAGATAAGGGTGGAGTTGGACACATGTTAATGCTTTAATTTAGTAATTAGGTGCCTGTTTAAGTTAATTAACAGCAACTTCAACTTTGGCATGGTTTAGAAAACTGCCAAATTTATTTTCTCTGCTAGACCCCGGCCGTTTCCTTGAAGCTTCTGTCAGTTTCCCTTCACAAGCTGGAATTCTGTACCCCTCACAGAGTTAAAATTCCCATAAACCCTTATCAGACTACAGCACCCAGAATTTTCTGAGAGGTAAAATGTGCTTTGAAGGTATAGTGCTGGGATGCAGCTAAACCACTACAGCGCAGCAGCTGCCTGTATAAATTTTAACTGATTTGTAAAGTATTATCGGTGTGAACATCTAATACATCTGACACACAACTTGGCCTTGGAACAAAGCACACACGCAGGCAAAGGTGTTTTGTTTAAACATGTGTTAGATGTTTAACTATATACTTGTTAACTATATACCTCTTAACTATATACCTGAAGTGTGTCTCCACCCCCATCACTCAGCCTGAGGTCCTCCTCCAAGGGTCTTCTGCTGGTTCCCTCCCTGCGAGAAGTGAGGTTACAGGGAACCAGTCAGAGGGCCTTCTTGGTAGTGGCACCCTCCCTGTGGAATGCCCTCCCTTCAGATGTCAAGGAAATAAAGAACTATCTGACTTTTAGAAGACATCTGAAGGCAGCCCTGTTTAGGGAAGTTTTTAGTGTTTGATGTTTTATCGTGTTTTTAATATTCTGTTGGGAGCTGCCCAGAGTGGCTGGGGAGGCCCTGCCAGATGTGCAGGGTATAAACAAACAAACAAACAAACAAACAAATAATTGGGTCAATTTTAAATCTCGCACCACCATACTTAATTGTAATGGCTTTATTTGTTTTTATAATTCTGTATTTTATTATTCTGTAACCAGCCCTGGGACCTTATGGTGAAGGGCGGGTGAGAAACCTTATCAATATACATATATATATTTATGGAAAATAGATTGGGAAAGAGGATGTGAGTAAGGGGAAACAAAGTAAGGAAGAAAGAATGTGGAACTGGGAGGGAGATATCCTGGATTCCAGGAAAGAATCCCAAAGGTTTAGAATTGCAAAGTAAGTTCAAAATAAGTTTGTTTGGGGAACAAATATCTGGGGAACAACAACTGGAGAGAGACCTGTTGGAATGTAATGTAAAAGTGCTGTGTAAAATGTATAAAATATTATTGGAATGGGAGACAAAGGATGAGCAAGTAAAATGCTCAATGATACATTGGGCAATAGATATTGGTCATAATATAGACATGGAAGCATGGGAACGATTGTGGAATATGGATATAAAATTTACAGCATGTTATTGTCCAAGAGAAAATTATACGAAAATGATATATCGATAGTATCTAACACAGAGTAAATTGGCAAAAATGTATGAATCTAAATTAAGTAAGTGTTGGAGATGTAAAGAGAAAGAAGGTTCTTTTTTTCATATGTGGTGGTCCTGTAGTAAGGTTAAAGCTTACTGGGAAATGATATATAATGAATTGAAAAGGATGTTTAAAATAATGTTTGTATAAAACCCAGAAGCTTTTCTTTTGGGAATTATAGGGACAGAACTACCTAAACTGTATAGAAACTTATTAACGTATGCTACTAGAGCGGCAAGAATGCTACTCGCCCAAAAATGCTAAGAGGCAGAAGTCCCAGCAAAGGAAGAATGGATACAAAAACTTGTGGAATATGCAGAAATGGCAAAACTTACCAGAAGAATAAGAAATCAAGATAACAACTTTTTATAAAAGAATGGAAATGGTTTACTGAATATTTGCAGATAAATTGTAAACAGATAGGAACATTGGGACAATTATTGTAATAACCTGCAGTTTTATGAGCGTATATTTAACATAGATGAATAAATGAGCAACTTGAGTTCATTTAGATATGCAGAAGATATTAAAAATAAATTTAAGGAACCGCAGAAAGAGGGGGAAGGAAGTCAAGTTTTGAAATGTTACAATGATTGTAAAATTAGTGAAATGTATAAACTTGAAAAGCATTAATAAAAATTTAAAAATGAATTAATTTAAAAATAATTAAGAGATAGGAGGAATAAGAGAATACAAGAGAAAGGAAAGTGGAGTCTTGCAGCCTCCTCTTTAGGCTCGCTTAACTTCCTCTTTATCCTGACTTACTGCTACTTCTTGCCTTCGCAGATGGCGGCCGTTATCGGGGGAATTTCCCGGCTCTTCCAGCCAACAATTGGGGTACTGTCTGCAGAGAAGTTATGCCAGGGTATCAATCCGTGGTACTTCCTCATTGGCCTCCGCATGGTTACTCTCTTTTTTGCTTTTGGACCCTGGGACTCCCTCAAGACCGATATGATTTGCCAGTGGCCCAAAGATACTGGCGATGCAAAGACGTTCTGTTCGGTCCTCTGCTATAACCAGCTGTTCCCCATCCCTGTCTCGGCCCTCTGGACCTTCCACTTCATCGCCATCATCTTCACTGTGGCGCTCATGAAGTTTGTGTACGTTTCGACGACGGACAAATCCGGGAAGCCTGGGGAAGCAGAGCCAAAGCCTGGGGAAACCGGGTGCTGCGAAACGGTTGGCAAACCTAGATTTGGCGGCTGGAGATACGGGATCTACATCTTCACCATAGTCTTGATTTTGGCCATAGAGCTGAGCTTCATGTGGACCCTCATTGGCCTCCAGTTACCAATTATGACCCGAGGAATCGTCACATGCCGCCCAAACAACCCAGTATGCCCCGAAACGGCCCAGTGCGCCCTCAACGGACGAGCCGACAAGCGGGCCATTTTGTGGGTTCTGGCCTTTTGCGCGGCAGCCAACGTCTGCGTCTGCATTGGCTATCTGGCCTCACATGGCGGGCAGGCCTGTGGTTTTTGTGGCGGCAGCGGCGGCGGCACAAGGAAGCCTGCGGCCGGTCACTGCGGCAACTGTGATGGAGAGGCCGGGGAACGCGGCTGTCTCCGTAACGGAGCAGGATGTCGCAATGCCCAGGGCGATGGCCTGGGATGGGAAGGGGCATATGGCTACCGCAGTGACTGCAGTGCGGCAGGACCAGCGGGATGCAGGTGCCAGGCAGAGGGAGCGAACTGCTGCTGCCGCCAAGGCAACAGCGGCGGCAAAAACGCGGCCTGCGGCTGTCAGGAGAATCGGCACTGCCCCTGCTACTTCCAGGGTAGTGAGGCGGGGCATAGCCGGAGCTCCATGCCCACCAAGGAGGATTCGGAGGGGAAATTGCTAAGGGGAGACATAGAACTGGGCCCGGAAAAGAAGAACTGGACTGTTGGGATGATGCAAATGAAAGAGCCAATGAGGCCTGGGCCCAAAAGGGGCCGAGGTAGCCCAGGAGGAGGGAAGGGGGTAAAATATATGGCAAAGTATGAGATGTGGGGCAAGAGGAGGGTGTAGGGTGGGAGCGAGTGACGGGGAGGAAGTGGAGAGCTACCTTAAAGGATTGCCACAGGGCTGGCCTTGCCACATAGCCGGGGGATATGCGGCCTGCCTCAAGGGGCATCATAAAGGCACAAGAGGAGGAACTGAGGAAGGCAAGAATGGGGCAGCAATGCATTTTAAGTGGTTGGCCCTCATGTGGTTGAGTGGGGTGCTATTTGGGCTTCACTCCAGGCCACAACAGGGCATGGGCCACCATCATTCTGGATTTTGCCTGCACTGTGTCTTGACAGAACGCCAACGCTTCTTTTCATTTTCTAAAGAATCGCGTATTTCAAATGCTACCATGCACATACCGACAAAATGAGTCGAGATCAAAATGACACATGGAAATTTGGTGCAAGCCCCACACTCCAAGTCTAGGGTGCTCTGAATTTTCTCCACACACTTTAGACAATCGGACGATTGAAAATGGTAAAACTAACCCACCCCTTCTCTTGGATTAGAATAATTTTATACCTTTTTTTTTATTAAAAAAAAATCTACCGGTAATTATTTAGTCACTAACAGGTAACTCACTCAACGAGCCCAGAAGTTACCGTATTTTCTTAGAATATTTATTTATTTATTTATAGGCAAATAAATGCTACTTTTCTGAAGATGGCATGAGAGTGACTTACTTAGAAAAGAGACAGTGACAGAGAGAAGCAGCATAAGCTACAATAGTAAAATCTGTCTGTCTATATCTATCTATCTATCATCTATCTATCCTCATCGATCATCTATCTATCTTTAAAAAAACTGACAAAAAGAAAAAAATAAGGATAAAATAAAATCAGCCAGTAAGAACATGCTCAACACCTAGGAGCCAGGAGAAAAATGGGACAGAATGCCTAGACCTTTGACAGTTGTGAAAAAGAGGGAGAAATTCCCATTTCAGCACCACTATTAATGGTGCAGGAGCACGGCTCTCTTTTTCACCTGGCTACCTCACCAAGAACATCGGACTACAGAGAAGGCTTGTTTTCCCAACATCCATCTAATATTTATACAGAAGTTCACTGCCCACTTCACATATGTTCGCAAGGCCAGCTACTGCATGCACTTTAGCAGGGGTCAGCAAACTTTTTCAGGAAGGGGCCAGTCTACTGTCCCTCAGACCTTGTGGGGGGCCAGACCCACCCTCTCCCAAAAGCACCCCAAAAAACACACACCCCTCCTGAAAGGATCCCACACACTGACGCTGCAGCTGCCAACGCCGCCTTGTCTTCGGCAGCGTTGGCATCAACCTCTGTCTTGACAGGGCACAGAGCCCAAGCCGCTGGCCTGGGCAGCAAAAGCAGCCTCCATGCTGCCGCCGCCGCTTCCGCCCGCTCAGCTCTTCTTGCTTGGCTGCCTCTGGATGTCGCCCTTTCCTTCAAGCTGAGATGGGCGAGCGAGAGGAAGCGGCTGAGCTGGAAGAGCCGAGCGGGAGGAAGTGGCAGCGGTGTGGAAGCTGCGCCAGCATCACCGCCCACCCAGAGGTGTCCGTGGCTTCTGATTGGCTGCAGGAGCTTCCTGCAGCCAATCAGAAGCCACGTCACGTCGCGGAAGTCAGTCCCCATGCGGCAAGGCCTTCGCACCGCACCGGTTTAGCACGGGGACTGACCAAGCAGGCGGCAGGGTCTGCAAGGTTCGCAGGCCGGATTAACGAGCCTGGCGGGCCGCATCCAGCCCGCGGACCTTAGTTTGCTGACCCCTGCACTTGATCTATATTAAGGTAAAGGTAAAGGGACCCCTGACCATTAGGTCCAGTCGTGACTGACTCTGGGGTTGCGGCGCTGATCTCACTTTATTGGCCGAGTCATGTGGCCAGCATGACTAAGCCGCTTCTGGCGAACCAGAGCAGTGCATGGAAACGCCGTTTACCTTCCCACCGGAGCGGTACCTATTTATCTACTTGCACTTTGACGTGCTTTCGAACTGCTAGGTTGGCAGGAGCAGGGACCGAGCAATAGGAGCTCACCCCGTCGCAGGGATTCAAATCGCCGACCTTCTGATCGGCAAGTCCTAGGCTCTGTGGTTTAACCCACAGTGCCACCCGCGTCCCTTTGATCTATATTATCTACTGCCAAACCCCACAAAACAGGCTATTTTCACACTTGAAGGATTTACATCAGGAAACACTACCCCTTCCTAATAAACAGATTGCCAAAGCCTATTATTTCAGGACTGGTCCAGAAAAGGAAGCGACAGGATTACGACTTGTTGACTCTTCCTGCAGTGTCCTACGGCCTTTGGGAAAAGCCATAGCTGAGCGGCAGATCATCTGCTTGGTATGCAGAGTGTCTAAGTTTCAATCCCTGGCAACTCCAGGAAGGATTGAAACCCTGGAAATAGTGGCTGCCGTTCAGTGTGGACAATACTGAGTGAGATGGACCAATGGTCTGGCTCACTGTAAGCCGCCTGTTCCAAAGAACCATGCCAAGATCTGCAGCCCATTCTGGACAATGCTTGTTTTCTCTCCCAGGCCTTGTAGACCTTGCAGACCTTAAACAAATTCAGGAGCGATGCTCAGCACAACTAGGAATGCCTGAGATCAGTTGGTTCATATTGCACAATGAACTGGCCTGATTAAATTAGTTCCTCTCTGATTAGTTCCTCTCCTAAATTAGTTCCTCTCTGATTTTATCTCTCAAATTTTTCATTACCTATATGAGGTAGTCTGAGGCTTGTCTTTTAAAAGCTTTATTTGCAGGTAAAGGCCACTTCAGTTGACTAGGAAGCCTGGCTGCTGCCATCACAATGGCAGTCATCTGTTTTCGCTGTCTAATATTGTGTCCCTGTGAGGAACAAGACACCGCCATGTCTGGTCAGTCTGAGGAGAGCATCTGAGGCCCCTTAGCATTGGCAGCAGCTGACTTCTTGAACCATTTCGAATGGCTTTTAATTATAAAAATTAAAATTAAAAATGGGGAAGTTGTAAAGGGCAGCTCTCAGACCACCTCATGTTACTGTAAATAAATTTCATTCTTTTTTAAATCGCAAATTAAAGAGGGAACAGGACAGGGTGGACTTAGGCATGAACCCATGCAAACATGACTTCACTGCCCATTCCTGAACACACACACACACACACACACACACACACACACATCTCAGATGCCAACAGTGTGCTTCATTCAGGCTTCATTCAGAAATAACTGTTATGGGACCAAGTAAGATCAGGGTACGCAAAGCATTCATCTGCTTGTTCTCCAACATGATAAATGTTATTGCTTGACCCGTGATGCCCTCCTGCCTTCTGCATAGGCCAGTCTGCAGGGCCGTCTTTCCCTGGGGGTGCAAGGGGTGCAGGACAGTCTGGCGCCAAATTCTGGGGGTGCCAAATGTACCGTATTTTTCGCTCTATAAGACACACCAGACCACAGGACGCACCTAGTTTTTGGAGGAGGAAACAAGAAAAAATATATTCTGAATCTCAGAAGCCAGAACAGCAAGAGGGATCGCTGCGCAGTGAAAGCAGTAATCCCTCTTGCTGTTCTGACTTCTGGGATAGCTGCACAGCCTGCATTCACTCCATAAGACGCACACATGTTGGGTTGAAATAAACTTCCCATCACACACACATTTCCCCTTACTTTTTAGGAGGGAAAAAGTGAGTCTTATAGAGCAAAAAATACGGTATTCTGGGCGGCGGCAAATGTATACCTACTGTATACTGGTCCCTCTTGATTAGAGGCAGTGAAAAGCAATGGGGCGAAAGTCCCACCCCCCTCGCTCTGTTACTCCGTAGCGTCAAATATTCCCGATGAGTCAGGAAACAAAAGCAGTTATTTCCGCTGTGTCGTTGTTACATGTGAGCGATTTTCCTCCCCTCTAAAGTCAACAACTTTGGCTTCCCCCCTCCCAAATAAAGCTCAACAACTTTGAGTTTGCTCCCCCTAAAAAAGTTGGGAACGGCTAAACTAAATTTGGGGGTGCTGGGCAGATCTTTGCACCCTGGCGGTGCATATGTTTGCAAAAGATAAACGGGACACAAATCTGATATCAAAAATTACAATATTCAGAAACCAGTTGTCTATTTAGGCGCCAGGCAAAAAGCATTTCTCTTCTCACAGGATTTCGGGCAGGTAAACAACTGATGGCCTTTTAAACTGTGCATGTGCAGGGGGAGCATGTGTTATTTCGTTTGTTATTGTGTTATGTATTTTTTGTATTTTTATATTGTAAACCTCCCTGTGATTCTTGGATGAAGGGCAGTATGTATAAATAGACAGACAGACAGTTGTTTAAGCTGCCCAGTACACTTCAGTACACTTTGCTATTAACCAGAAAGCCACCTTTCTTCCATACAAGAACTTTAAAGGGAGACTCCAGAATGAAATTGCTGAACTAGTTAGAGTGTCTGAGTTATGTGTGATTCTACTCCATTAGTATTCAAGCCATATCAAGGTTCCCCCTCCCCCTCTGGAATTGTGTCACCAGATGTTTTATTATATTTTATTGTGTTTTTTATATATGTTGGAAGCTGCCCAGAGTGGCTGGGGCACCCCAGTCAGATGAGTGGGGTACAAATAAATTATTATTATTATTATTATTATTATTATTATTATTATTATTATTATTATTATTATTACCACCACCACCACCACTGACATCTCTTGTAAATGATGCCTGCACTTATCTTGTATGCATTTGAGTTTTATGTTAAAATAGCACAGACTGTACTTTTACTTTCATTTCATGGCCTTACTATTGACATTTTGGCCCTCAATACTGGTGCGTTCTGCAAATATGTCAACTAAAATTACAATTAATTCATCTGATGATGTGGGCCCTAGATCTCAAGCGTATGTGCCCTAATAAATCCGTCAGCTGTGAAGGTACTAAGATTCTTTTTTGGTTTTGCTCCAAGTGACTTTTGATCCCCTCAACACCATATCTTCCTGGAGAGGCCATCTGAGTTGCTTAACAGTGGTTCCAATCCTACTTAGATGGTTTTTCGCAGTGGGTGATGCTTGGGAATTGCTTTTCAGCAGCCTGGGACCTTCAAGATGGTGTCTCTCAGGGCTCAATTCTATCTCCCATGATATTTAGCATCTACAAGTGGTACCTTGGTTCTCGAATGTAATCCATTCCAGAAGTCCGTTCAACTTCCGAAATGTTCGAAAACCAAGGCGAAAAACTGAAGCTCAATCCAGATAAGACAGAGGCACTGTTAGTGGGTGGTTTTCTAGACCAGATAGGTGGGAGATTGGTTGCTCTTGAGGGGGTTACACTCTCTCTTAAGGAGCAGGTACATAGCTTGGGGTGCTTCTGGATCCACTGCTGTCGCTTGAGGCCCAGGAAAGTGGGAAATAGGCATGAAATCTGGGAAGAAACAACATAACAATAGAAATATTGGAATTATGGGAATTTCTCACCTCAATTTCTCACCCTTCCCTCCTCCTGGGTCACCCTAACGCCTGATTTCTCTCTCCTGTGGGTACACCTATGAAACAATTCACATCTGTTCACAATCAAATCAAGTATTCCTTAAGCCTTTTATCATATAGACTCAACATTCCATCCTCGCCTTAGGCTTCAGGGCAATTTCCCAACTGCTTTTCCAATAGATTTCCAAAGACATAACACA